TTCTCCAAATCATTTTTCAACCATCTTTATAATACGAAAAGGAAATACAATGATTGTGATATTACTAAATAATGTCACGGATAACCTTATGCATAATTTAACGAAGAATGAACCTTCGGTATGGAATTTTTTATTAAAGGTTGGAATACGTTAACATAAAATATTTAAACGACAGGCTTTATCTTCTTCAGATTTTTTTACGTCGAAACTTTAACGAAATTCTATAAGTTACAGAGAAGAGAGATTCATAGAAAATTTGAGAGTATACTCTTCTATTGACGAAACATTTACCATTTAATGCAATTTACCCGTTAGACTACTCTTGGTTTTGCAAGAAAAATTTTCTCTTTGTAGAAGAATCGGTAAATCTTTGAGAATTTTTCTGTCATCTGTAAATTTGTGGGATCTAATGACGACGCATCGTTCGACGATTAGGCCAGGTGTAAGATCTTTCGTTCTATATTTTAATTCCTTTATTATTTCCTAACGTAAATACTAAAGATAAAGAACACATTAAATTTTTCATCGTCATACTAACGTGCTTGATAATCATTAATAAAAAATTGGTGTCACTTTATGTATATATCCAATTGTTAACAATGCATTCGTAGCGGATGTAACTTTTATTCGTCGTAAATGAATGACTCATAATTGAAATTATTCATTTTATTAACTCTATTTCTTTTTTGCTTCTTTTTTTCATATACCTTTTTAAATAACACCAATTTTTCTCAGAATTCATTTTCAACATGAATCAACTGTAAAAACATTTGACGATGAACGATGTTTCGGAGAATATGACACATAAGTAGAAATACATCTTCGTTATCCATGACTACTATGCACAAATCGACATTTCCATACGATATTGCAACTTCGATGATCTTTGGATTCGGTAAATAGGTCAAAGGCATTAGGTTTTTAATCGATCAGCTAGACGCTCGATGATGCGAACATTGAGATTTGCGTCAATAAGATAATCTTTCACCCTCGTTATTAGAATATTATCGTCGATCTCTTCTACATCAACTTGAGACTAGTTTATTAACTGCTTTTATAATATAATAAAATTCGTACAAAAAAAAGAGAGACAAAAAGAAATAGACAAAAAAAAAACGAGTACATCGTCTATGCTCAGTCAGTTATTATATTTCCATTTTATTTTGGATGTAAAAATTAGAATATTTTTCGAATTTACTTACTATTGCTCGATAAAAAGCATTGATAATAATGTACGAAAGTACTAACAAAAAATATACTTTTCCCAAAGTTGATTTTTCTTATGAAAAATTTCTTTGACGAACAATAACTCATATTAACATGAGTATAAAATTTAGTAATTATTACGTATATATGTAAATATTAATTAGGTAATTGAAAAAAAATTAATTACATAACATAAATATTAGTTAATAATTTTTGTGTTGAACATTACACGATATAACTTTAGTTACACGCGTAAAGATGGCAAATATAACAAATTCATAAGTTCATTCGACGATCTTTCATTACGCAACGTTTCGCCATATTTTCGTTCATAGAGTAATTACGTTAACAGCATCATTTTAACAATGCGCAACTTTATTAATGTCCATTGTATTGTTAACATAAATTAAATATGATATTATTATTGTCAATACGTTTGAATAAATTAATTATTCGATTCGTATGGAAAATAATTATAACGAAAGAAATTACACATTTCGAGATCAATCATCATTCATTTTTAATGATGATTTTTATTAAATATTAATATTATTAATTGATTGATTGATTAAGCCAATGTTTTAAGCTAGTTCGAATACGAAAAATATAATTGTTAATATTTATTCGATCATTCCTATGAATATCAAAAAGGGAAAGTTTCAAATAAATATGCAATAACATTTCTTCCAAATGAAGTTAAATATGTGTTCTTATCAAAGATAAACGCGGGAATAACCAGATTCATACGATTTATCGCAATTATTGTCTCTCGAAGATACCGGGAAGAAAAAGGGAAAATATTTCAAGATGTTTTTCGTAATAACACGCTCACAATAGTGCAAATCTTATCAGTTGCACAATTGTGCAAACTATGTATGTTTTCTTACTCCAATAATCAATTAGTAATTATTAAAAGAAAAAATATAAAACAATATCAAATCGTACATCAAAAATGGTAAATTATATACGTTGATAATGTCACAAGTGAATTAATTATACATAATAATCGATTATAATACCTTTACTGATGATTATTTATATGCAACAAAATTTTTTACCGTACTTGTTCGAGCATCATTAATTTTTAAGTTATGTATTTTACGTTAAAAAAAATTATTATTATATATAGGTGTATACAAGACTAAAGTCAATTTCATGATCATCAACTCTTACTCAATAGATTTCTAGTTGGAGAAATACTCGACGAATCATCATTACTTACATCCACATAAATACAGACCAAGAACATTCACACATAGTGTATATACGCAGACGTGCGTTAATGCATTATTATCTGTCACTTTAATTGCACTTATTATTATATTTTTTCCTTGATAATCCAACGAAGAATCACGTAATTACGAGCAGGTAACAGTCGACGGAAATGACTTTTGCGCTTGATACTCAAGGAAAATGCAATTTGTCGTGACATAACTCTTAACTTTAACTGCAAAAAACATTGAAAAATTTAGGATCACGTGACGTTATCGTACATAATAATAAATACTTTTATAACACTCGACGTTCTCGAATTGATTCGTTTTCGTCATGTTTAAAAAAAAAAACTTCTAATAAAATTTTGTTTTTCCCCGATCTTCAATAATGATTAACCTAATTTGATATTTTTTTTATGGATAAGAAACAAAAGAAAAGTTTTCCTTCGTAGATTCTATGGAGTTCGAGTTACTGCCATGATGAAGCAAGGAAAGGAGATTGGCTTCGAAGGTTAATTTCCGTCTTCATCGTTGAATGTGTGGGTGGAACAATGTCCTTCACGGTCAACGAACAGGTGAATGAGATTTGTGCCGGCCCAAGCCAACTACTTCGAAAAAGACTACTACTCTCTTCGTTTCGGTAGATAAGCTACCATATATTTTATTATCTCGACGAAAAAGCAGGGACGAGTTTTATCGTCAAAACTACCTTTGTGGTTCTTATCATACAATTTTTCAAAACTATTTTAAAGAAAACGTCCTTACAAAAAAATAGACGATTAATACTAATGTAAGTCTATGAATATAACAAAACTAATAGCTCTTTTTTTTTCTTTTACGATAAAATTAAAAAGGTAATTAAGATTATCATGTAGATATGTAAGAAAAATAAAAAAAAAATAAAAAAAAAATACAAGGTATACGTACAGGTAAATTGTTATATCGCGGAAACAGGAAAAAAAGACACGAATAATAAAATTGCAATGGAAAAAAATAAAAAAAAAAAAACATTTTCCTTGAACATCACTTATCTCGAAAATCAACTACATATGGTGATTACCCGCGAACAACTTAACTTCGCATTTATAAACGTACAATAGATAAATGTAGTGCGAAGTAAACGAAAGAAGAAAAAAAAACATGAGTTACGTCGTTTCGATGATAACAACATACAAAGTTAAATATTCAAAATTACTCGTTACATTTAGAACACAAGTAATCTTCATAATCGAATGTTCGTATTTAGACAATCACACGAATTATCAGTAAGATAAATCAAATATAACAGAATACTAAAAACAACATAAAAAGAAAACAATTTTGTAGATACAATTTTTATTACGTTTCAAAAAAAATAAAAAATAAATACATTTTTATAAAATTTCAAAGATGAAACTAGAAAAAACTTCTAACGATATTGCATGTCACGATGTAAAAGGCGAACGTAGCGTGAAGGAACTTCGATTCGTGAACTAGAGTTTCTCTCTCTCTCTCTCTCTCTCTATATATATATATATATATATATATATATATATATCCTTCTCTATCTTGCTGACTCTTTGATCGAAAACCACACGATTACCGAACGTGATATTTCTCGCTGAAATCGAACTTTGAAGAATCCGTTCCGCATACAGAGAACGATTCGATTTGCGAAAGAGGCGCGTTGCCTTTGTATTGGCAAATTCGAGATCGTAAATCGATAATGTTTTTCCGAGATACATATTGATTAAGAAATGATAAAGAGAGAGTAAGAGAAAAAGAGAGAGAAAAAGAAAACGTTTCAGCTATTATCATTCTTTGTGAGATTATCGAAGATCGTAGCATGAAGTAGATTCGAATAATTTTCGAAAATAAGTTACCTTTTAAAGGGTAAAGAGAAAAAATCTTGGAAACAAGATTGATCCTAATAACAGATTCTCATTGAAGAACAAAGATTAAAACAGAAAAAAAGGCGACCTTTGCAATTGCAATTAATTAAACATCAAGCTTATAGCGCAAACTCTATCACAACATGATTCACCTTTGAATGCTTTCACGTAGATCGCAATAATCTAATCATTTAACAACTACTTACATTTCTCTTACATTCTCTCGTCACTTTTTGTTTACCTCACATTTATTTTTTTTTCACCTAACTTGCTAACGACCAATCAATTCAATTGAAATCATTTAAACACGTTGTAATAACGTAAAAAGGTATATACAGATAAAGTATTGTTTCGTGATAATATCCAAATTATAGTAGCTCGATACTGATTTTACGCTCGAAGAAATGTAATTTAAATGGTCTTTCATGATCGAAAATATTAACTACTGTCATTAGACGTCACGGATGAACACAGAAATAAGAAGTTGCTAGATACACGAACGACTTCGTGAAGTTCCTGTAATTATCGGCACGATATCAACGGAAAAAAAACAAAAAAAAGATGCAAAATCGTAACGCGTTTCAAAATGCAAACGTATTATTTTAAACGTTTCCGTTACCAACGATAAATAACGTATAATAATAACAATAATAATAATTAGAAGAAGAAGTAGAAGAAGAGGAAAAACAATTAATCAAATTAGACTCACCTCAGCAAGATATTGAAAGCCATGATCCTCAGCAACCTTTCTAGCTACTTCCGGTCCCCCTTCGATGTGAGCAGCCCACTGATTGGTATAAGCTCCGACTCTGTCTCGTAGAGTCACCAGGAGAGCCAGACACGCAAGTCCAAAAATCCTTCGAGTACACATCATAGCTCGTCGCTGTCACTCCACCGATATAACACTAATAGCACTATAAAACACTTTTGCTATAGTAGCAGTAGCAGCGATAAAATAATCAGCACCACGACCAGCGCGGTAACCGATGACGATGATGACAATGATAATAATAATAATGATGATGATGATGATGATGATGATGATGATGATGATGATGATGATGATGATGATGATGATGATGATGATGATCNAATGATGATGATGATGATGATGATGATGATGATGATGATGATGATGATGATGATGATGATGATGATGATGATGATGATGATGATGATGACGAGGACGACGACGACGACGACGACGACGAAAATGATTTCAACTTCACCTTAACACTTTTATCCACCGATATCCTCCTCCACCAACACCACCACCACCCACCACTGCCACCGACAACACGAAGACCGTGCACCGTCGCCACAACGAATGAACCACGTTGACTGATGTTAGTCCTTGTGTCAGTGTCGATTACGATGCATACGGAATGTCAATTGGGGCAAGAGAGAAGAATACGGGGAGAAGGAGGAGGAAAAAGAATAATAATAATAATAATAAAGAAGATGAATAACAAGGAAATACAAGAAGATAATATATGCAATAAGGAAAAAATCCCACTAAAGAAAAAAAAGAAGAAGCGGAAGGGGGGGAGTAAACCAATCAAAGAGAATTAGGAGGAAAACTACGAGGAGGAGGAGAAGAGAGCAATGAGATAAGAAAGTAAAGGGGAGAAAGAGAGGAATTAATCTAGAGAAGAATGAGGAAAAAAAACACCTGCTCCTACGCGAACCGTCCGCCGACGACGACTGAGCCGTCAGCGGCTCGCCTTGCTCGTTAAGTACCCTCCACAGTGTCGGCCGCCTTTGACTTCGGTCCCCCGTTAACTTCGCGTGCGAAACAGCACGACAAAACGAACGAACGAGCGAATGAGCGCGCGCGCGCGCGCGTACGCACGCACCARTTTAAATCCCTTCTTCTTTTTCTTCTCAGATAAAACACCAGATACCAAAGTTGATATCTAAATTTCTTCTTATTCTTATTCTTCTTCTTTCTATTTTATCTTTTTTTTTTTTTGCAAGATTTTGCAAGACGTATCCCTCTATATATGAGTACGTGTATTTATGTATATATAAGTGCACGTATATTTCGCGAGATAAGATCAATTTATCTTCTCGAATCGTAACCAACCACTTCCGACCTCGTCGTAACAGCTAACATTACGTCGATTTCGATTGTCTTTGTCTTGATCGATAGATCGACCTAAGATCACGCTACTACAACAACAGATCTGTCGTCCTTTCTGAAGCCAGTCATGATTATAAGAAAGAGAAAGAAAGAAAGATAAATTTCTTTTCCCCCTTTTCTTCTATTTGATACTTTGTTCGAAGCTGAACACCCTCCTTTGCCTCTTCCTATATTTTTCCTTCTCTTCGTTCCACTTGGCGATCACTTTGTCGACCTACCAACGCCGATCTGCAATAAAGAAGAATAGACGGAAATAATCGTAATGCTTCCCCTTTTTCCTCATCTTCCTCCTCCTCATCATCATTCTTTTTCGAACAAAAATTTTTGCGATTATCTTTTATCTCGTGTTGACACTTTGTTAAACCCACCGTTGTGGTGACTCGTCCGATTAACGATTAACTAGTCTGTTCATTTATGAATTTTATAGATAAAGCAAAATACGACATTAATTTTTATCGATATATACAAAAGTTATTGTTAATATATTAGATGAATTATTGATTAATTATTTAATTTTAAAATAAATATCCAGAATAATATAGATTTTGTGCAATTTCAAAGCTACACTCTTAAGAGAATATCCTTTTATAAATACTGTGTATTATAAAAAAAAACAATTCGATAATAAAATTTGAATAAGTATTTTAGGAACACCGAGTATATTCTTCGATAAATACCATGCGATATCGAGGCAAGTTAATTGCGGAAAGAACCGGATAAGCCGATTACAGCACAAGCGTTTACAATAATTTTGTTAACGTTAATAATTATATTACATCATTCCCCCCCCCTCCCATCAAAATCTTTTCTCGAAACATTTTTCAAAGTCTCTTATTAACTCTGAAAATGTGGAATCAAAATTCGACCCGTAATCTTATCAGAATAGCGAATATTTCAATGAGTATTTATGTTATCACGTGATAAATAAAATATTGTTCAACGACGTATATACGACGACGAATAAGATAACAAATTAGAGCGCGAGCATATAATCGTCCTATAAATACATACAAATATTGTATAACTCTACTTCATCGCCTTATCTCATAAAATTAGATTCTAAAGTTCTATTAGTGTTAATGAATGTGTGTGAGTGTTTGGTCAATTATACGTTGTACTATTGTACTTTAGCAAGTAGTCGTTAAGTCAACAATTCGAAACTCACATTTCTATTAAAGATATTAATACTTCTATATGGTACGGTAGAAATTAATAAGAAAATTATTATTTTTTTAGAACAACAAATGTAAAACGTAATATCACCTAGAAACTTTTTTTAAATATCTCGCACGACGAATTTTAATTGTAATTTCTTATTTTTTTCTTTTATAAAAATGACAAAAAATTGATCGAAAGTAATATTTCAACGAAGATATGCAAAATATAGGGGAGGGGGAAGTTAATATAAAATCGTGGAGATTGCAAAGTTTACTTAAAATATGATATTGTTCAAGATGACATATGTATTGCAGCAAGTACAACACGCATGTTATGTTGTTCGCATCAAAGGGCTACTCGTTAAACGAGTAATGTAATAATTACCCGGCAGATATTACATTCCATGAGTAGAGTATTCTCTATTATGAGAGATCATTTATATTCGCTCCGCAGAAATAACCTCTCTCGATTACTTTAATTACGAAGTTGTATCAACGAAGGTACATATATAGTAGTACTGAGAGAGAGAGAGAGAGAGAGAGAGAGAGAGAGAGAGAGAGGGACGGACTAGGACATACTACTTCGGTAAGTCAATACCCACTCCAAAGTCCCATGTTCTCTCGCTAAAGATGTAAATCCTGTTCCGTACAATGGATTAAGTCTAACGAATGCCGAGGAAAAAGGAATGGAATTAGGTCGGAAACGCGTGGGAGTACTTTTCCGATATAAATTATAAAACGTATAGAGCTTAAATATTATATTTGAAAAAAAAAATAGAAGAAAATATAAGAAAACACCAGTTAATAAAAAAAAGAAACAAAAAGCAAACAACATTAGCGAAAGTAAAAAAAAATTTGGATACACATCTTTAAACAACTCACATAATTGTTCGTGTTGTCATACTAGTTTAATTACATTTCACGCATTGATCTATCAAAATTTCAAACTATTGAGAAAAAATCAGTTTGTTTACCGGGCAAACCCTACTATGTTCCAAAAAGGTTCACCTACATACTACTACTATTTCCTACCGACATTTACAAAGTTTTTAACATATAAGATATCTTTGATTAATAAAGTTACCTGGTAATTATAATAGATAGTTAAATTTTTGACAAAGGGGAAAAAATACGAGTAGAAATAATTGTTGCGTATATATATATTTTCCAGCACATTACCGAGCTGTAAAAATTCCACTTAAAGATTAGGAGGAATATTCTGAGAGGCCATAAAATATCAAACAAACTCAAAAATTATTAGGAAAAATCGGTGCGACGGAACCTTGGTGCATTGTCGGGCACTTCGAGGGGTTTCGGATTCTTATGTAAATACATGCGACACCATAAGAAGAAAGGATATTTCTTAGTCTAGACCAGTGGTTCCTAAAGTGGGCGATGATCCTAAAGTCCACAGGTAAACTTTGAGGGTGTGGGAAATGAACTACTAAAAAAGAAAAAATGTCAGCGGAGGCTGATCCGCGCTGCTATACTACGCTACACAACAATGCCGGTATATCGATACTGTGTCAACAATAATAAAATATTAGAAAGAAATTCTCTTACTATTTAGGCTTTGGTGCGGGTGTGCATTAAAAAAAGTTTAAGAAAAAGGTCATCAAGAAATTTCCAAGGGGAAAGGGGGCGATAAGCAGTATTTTGTTAAGAAAGGGGGCAATAGGACAAAAAAGTTTGGGAACTACTGGTTTAGACAAATTTCCCTTATGCATAATTTCCACTACAATCTTTACTAAAAGCTGTTTCCATAGATGGACTATGATGGTGAATTATGGTGATGGACCCTTCTACTAGTGGTCAATGCGCTTGGAGAAGGAATTTCGGAAACCGATTTTTCACTATAAAAACCACGGAGATAGAGAATAAGGAGAACGATCGCTATAGGCAATTTGTCATACATAGTGTCACCAAAAAAGTAACAAAATACCAATACTTATTTCTGCCATTTGGGTGGCATGGTGATCAACTCGATCCTAGTGACGTACATAAAAGTTAAAACTATAAATTTTTTCACAGATTACTTTATTATTTACTATTGGAGTTGTTATTCATTTTATACTTTTCTTAAATTTCCGTAATTTAATAAAATGACAACAAGTATTGCAAAGTTGATTGATTAACCCATTGACTGCCAGACATATTTAGAGCGACTTGCCTTAAATTTTTAAAAATATAATAATATTAAGTTACTGATATAATATTGTAATGTTATTTACAATAATTGATAATTAATATTCTCTACACCATATAAATATTTTATTCAACCTTTTTAATAATTCTTAACGTAAATAACCATTTGTAATTAATCTGAAATTGCAGCACACACTACGAGATATCTCGTAGTTGGCAGTCAATAGGTTAATAAAGTTCAATAATTTTTATTGATTACACATTATTTTAAAGTAGAATAACAATTTTTTTGAACTATTTCTTCATAAATGTAGAACTATAAATGTGTTATATACTTCACATTGAGTAAAAAATGTTATTTTTCATTGTTATTAATTCATTTATTAATAATCAATATAAAATAAATACCATTATTTAAAATTTTTCTTCCTTCATTAGTTTGCTTGTTCGTCAAATTTTAAATAAATAATTTAATAAGCAATAATTACATAAATCTGTTTTTAATTTCAGGTATGTATAAATGATTTTATTTAATATTGTTGAGCACTAAAGAATCTAATCAGCTACAGCGTACTGGAATGAAACTTTATTTGTTCTATATTTTGGGGATACTTTTTAGTCCGGGAGCTAGCAACGTTTTCGAGAGGGAATTGGAGATAAGCCAATTTTTTGATATGTCGTTCTTCTTGATCTTTCGGTTAGAACTTGCACTTCTTGGCTGGCCGTAGGTCTTGTGTTTACTAGTGCGCATCCAACCTGCACAGGTAATAATCCTAGATTTTAAAAGAATGTTGAGAAGCCTAATTTTTTATTTATTGACTTTAGATAAATATATCAAGCATACATTTTTTATTGCCATGCACTTTTCTCATTGCTAAATATCTGCCATATGCGATTTTTTTTTTTTAATAAAAAATTAAAAATATCTTGGTATTCATGTAATTTTAATATTATGTTATTTAAGTATACAGAAACCAAAAATTAATTTGCCAAGTGTTTATTCGCTTGTTAAACCTAGAATAAGAACGACAAACTTATGAAAAGTATTGCAGTATGATGCTGTAGTTGTTATGTTCCTTTGATCATTGAGATAGTTTGGGAATTTATGGCTCTTTGGAATTTCCTAATATTTAGGTAAACAATACCTTATATTTGCTGCCTTTCAGTATTTTATGATATTTTATTTCATAAGCTTATCGCAGGGTCTGTTTCACAGAAATTGAATATTATAAAAAATAACAAATATAGTTTATCGTCTACAAAAGATTTGTGTGGGACTGAACATCATCTTGTAAACTTGCCAGTTGCGCCACCGTGGCTGTCTATCATCTCTCTTGCACTCTGAACTGTCTCTCTCTAACTACAGCATCATACTGCAATACTTTTCATAAGTTTCTCGTTCTTATTCTAGGTTTAACAAGCGAATAAACACTTGGCAAATTAATTTTTGGTTTCTGTATACTTAAATAACATAATATTAAAATTACATGAATACCAAGATATTTTTAATTTTTTATTAAAAAAAAAAATCGCATATGACAGATATTTAGCAATGAGAAAAGTACATGGCAATAAAAAATTTATGTTTGATAAATCTATCTAAAGTCAATAAATAGAAAATTAGGCTTTCCAACATTCTTTTAAAATCTAGGATTATTACCTGTACAGGTAGGATGCGCACTAGTAAACGCAAGACCTACGGCCAGCCAAGAAGTGCAGGTTCTAACCGAAAGATCAAGAAGAACGACATATCAAAAAATTAGCTTATCCCCAATTATTATTTTCCCGACGTTGCTAGCTCCCGGACTATTTATACACTGCGATCGTTCTCCTTATTCTCTATCTCCGTGATAAAAACCCTCGGAAAACCAGCATCATCACTATTCGCCATAACTCTAACGTTCTACAAGAAACAACGCAGCAGCG